CACACCACTCACTCCTTGGGGAATATTACTGTGAGGTTACTCTGTGCGAAGTCAAAGGTTTCACCGACTAAGGTGACCACACTCGCCCGTTTAGAATTATGTGCTGCGGTCTTGATGTCCAGGTTGATACGGACGGTTCAAAGCTCCTACAAGGAGCGTATTCCGATCGCGGGAACGTATGCTTTTTCGGATTCAACTATTGCGCTTTCGTGGATTCATTCCTCACCGCATCGTTGGTCGGTGTTTGTTAGCAATCGCGTCGCTCTATGTCAAGAAAATCTACCTCCTGAGAACTTTTTTCATGTCGCAGGAAGTGAGAATCCGAGTGATTATCTTTCCCGGGGGATGCTCCCCTCCCAACTCGTTTCACATGATTTATGGTGGAACGGCCCGTCATGGATTCGAAGCCCTCCTTCTGAGTGGCCTTTGAAAGCCTTTTCGCCTAGCATAACCGCCGAGCTGCCTGAGCACAAAATTAACGTGCTGACTGCAATGGTTCAGACTGAACCACCGGCCTTGTTGGAATTGGCCCGGCGTATATCCGTGTGGGATAAACTTTTACGGACTGTTGTTTACGTACTTCGTTTTATTAAAAAGATTGCGCCTTCCTCTGAAACAGTCAATAGTCTTATGATTGCTGAAAAATTCGTGCTACGTGCAGTGCAGTCTGTTCACTTCGCTGAGGACGTTACCGCGCTTAAAAAAGGTAAATTGCCTTCGAAGAAGCTTTTGAATTTGTCGGTGTTCCTTGACGGAGATGGTGTACTGCGTGTTGGAGGACGGCTTTCGAAATCGGATTTACCTTTTGAGGCTAAACATCCAGCATTACTCCCTAAACATGACCGTGCAGTGGATCTTATCATTCAACACTACCATATTATGAATTGTCATACTGGTCCGGGACTTTTGATGTCTATCTTGCGGCAACGTTTTTGGATATTGGATGCCAGGACGGTTATAAGAGCTAGGGTCAGGAAATGCAATTGTTGTTTTCGTGTAAGTCCGTCTCACCGTGCACCCAAGATGGCTGATTTACCTTCGTTTCGTATCACAGAAGCAAAGGCTTTTGTTCATACCGGCGTTGATTACGCAGGTCCCCTTCGCATTACGCTTGCTCGTCGAAGAGGACAGCATGCTCAGAAGGCATATATCTGCTTATTTGTTTGTCTTGTGACTAAGGCTGTTCATATCGAGCTGGTCTCTGACCTAACCTCAAATGCTTTTCTTGCGGCTTTTAGTCGCTTTATTTCACGGCGTGGACCTGTGTCATGTCTATACTCAGACAATGGTACCAATTTCGTCGGTGCAAAGGCGCTGTTAGATGATCTTTATAACTTTCTAATTGGTTCGGAGTTTCATCCAACTTTAAAGCGCGAACTAGCTAAAAGTCGTATTGAGTGGAGAATGATTCCACCTCGCGCGCCGCATTTCGGTGGTATGTGGGAGTCGAATATTAAAAGTTTAAAGACTCACCTTTATCGCGTTATTGGGGCTCAGCTCCTGACGTACGAGGAGCTTCAGACTGTGCTGGTGCAGATCGAGTGTGTCATGAACTCGCGCCCACTCGCTGTCATCTCCTCGGATCCCGACCCCGATGTGGTCACTCCTGCCCATTTTTTGATGTCATCGCCGTTGCGGTACTTACCGGCGCCTCCCGTCACTGATACGCGTTTCACTCTTTCCCAGCGAAAGCAACTGCTAGACAGTATGGTACAGTCCTACTGGAAGAAATGGCGCATGGAGTACCTACATACCCTACAAGTCCGGCAGAAGTGGTCTACCGCTGGCCACGTAATTGATGTGGGAACCGTTGTTATTGTGGGACAGGAGGATTCTCCTCCCTTGAGTTGGCCCTTAGGTGTAATTTCAGAGGTTCATCCCGGTTCGGACGGAATCGTTCGAGTGGCGACGGTTAAGACTAAGTTCGGGATCTTTAAGAGGCCCATTGTAAAGTTATATCCTATTCCTACTCAATAATAACTCTCTGTTTTAGTAACGTACTAATCTTAAATTGTGTCAAGGCTTAGCCATGAAACGTCTCAACTTTCAGTTAACCTTATTAAAGCAAAGTTGTAAAATTTTTTGTTTATAATTTTATTTTGTTTTGGACTTCTGCGAACGTCCAAGGCGGGGAGCATGGTTGAGCGCCATAAGAATGGTTTTAGTTTATTTGGTAAAATTATGTTTCTATCTTATTATGTGTGGCGATATACCAGGAAAACTTCTCGCACCCACTTATCTGTGGGATTGATGTCGCCGTGGCTGAGGGCACTGGCTGGTTACCGGAACAAACATTGTTTATGGTGCCTTTCGTGTAAAAAAGTGAACATACTCTCTTCCTTAAAAAAAACTGTCGAGATGTGTGTCAATACTTTTCTTTAATTATTATTAAAATATTCGGGACAATCGTAAAAATTACAATTGTGACGTGCGCTTTCTGGAATGCCGGCAAAACAGGGTCCAGCCGCCTCACATCACGCCCGTCGGAGACCACGCAACCCATCGTCTTGGAGGTAAGTGGGCGCTTCCTTTTTCCTGGTATTGAACCATATAATTTATAATTTTGGTGTAATCCACCCCAGGTGTGGGCTATTTACACGCGCCACACCAATCATCATGTGACAAATTCTTGAAAACCCTTTTATATGAATACTAGCTGACCCAGCGAACTTCGTACCGCCATAAAAAATAGGGGTTGGTGGTAGAAGGGTGAAAATTTAGGGTTATATGTATTTATGTATGATGTATCATAAAAAAATTAAAAAAATATATCTAAAATTAAAAAAAAAATGAGGGGGGGTACCCTTAACATTTAGGGGGATGAAAAATAGATTACATCCGATTCTCAGACCTACCCAATATGCACACAAAATTTCACGAAAATCGGTCGAGCCGTTTCGGAGGATTTTAACCACAAACACCGCGACACGAGAATTTTATATATTAGATTCAGTGTCAGTTTTTTTTTTTTTGTCTTTTTGTTATGTTTTGTCCAATCTTAATTTTATTTTATTATTGATATTACTGAATTGTATGTTTTTTTATACAATTTTTAGAATTAAATTAAATGTAATAATTATAAAACGCCGTTAGTATCTAATGTGTACAAAATGAGTTTCTGTAATTGGCCTTAAGATGGTATCTATATTTTATTGTATTAAATTTCACAAAAAACTGCTGTAGAAACTTTGTTAAAGATAAATAAATAAATAAAATAAATAAATTAACTAAAAATATTTCTTGTGCACACCAGGAACTAAGTGAAAGCTTAATCAGTTTTGCAAAGTTCAATTCGACTGACGTCACTCGATGAAGAATGTTCCAAAGATGAATACGTTCACACAGAAAGGCAGATCAATACTAACTTATGATAATTATTAATTATCGTACTCGTCACACTTCACTTTTTCATGTACCATTGCACCGTACAAAATATGGAAATCATTCTAACCTCACGCGCGTGTCACACTTATACAATTCAAAATTTGGAGACATAGATATATTTTTTGGATCAAAACAGAAATTTAAAAATGATTTGAGGTTGAAACTTTACCCCCCGTCCCCCGTCCCCAAATAATTAAATAAGAAGTACCCTTGTAATTTTTAAATATATATACATATACATATTTATTTTATTTTATGCATGTTTTTATTTCAATTTGCTTGATTGCAGATACATGAATGTTTATTAGACTCGTACCCAATTAGTGACTTTTCTCTGGTAATATCAAGTTTTCATTCCTTTCGCCCGCTTTGATTCATCACTTAGGATTGAAGGCTATTTCAACAATGTCTTTTTCTTTATTTTTATGTTTTCTTTTTGGTAACTAAGGTTTACTTATTACTAGCAGTGTTTCCGGACCGATACGACCCAAAAACCTTCAAAAAAAGAGCATACTCCTTCCTTAAAGGCCGGCATCGCATTTGTGATACTCCTGGTGTTGCAAGTGTCCATGGGCGACGGTGATCACTTACCATCAGGTGAGCCGTCTGCTCGTATGCCCCCTATAACATAAAAAAAACTTATGTTATTCAGCTGTGTACATTTTTGCTGGCCTTTGGCTGTTTAATGTACCTTTATAAATAAATAAATAAATAAATTATCTAAAAAAGACATTCCACACCTTGGCTATGTCAACACATTCAATCTCAGGAGGCGCGTAGTTACGCATCGGGCAACTAATTTAGTTTCTTATTTTAGTTAGCTCACATAGCTTAGTGTGCAGTCTGCAAACAATTATGATAAACTGCGTCAGCTATGCGAGCTAAGCTAAACTATGTAATTTATCTTAGCTCTTGGTCTGCAACCCGCATAATGCGGTCGCTATTCCCACAGCACAGGCGCACTTGCGGCCCACAGGACCACTTCTCCCGATAAGTTTCGAGACGAACGAACGCTAGATAGCCGCCACGTCGCCGTCGCCTCCGTTACACCATAAAATAGACAGAACAGAAGGTAATCTACACATATGGCACCGCTCACGGATACGAAATCTCGGACCAATTGAGACCACTGCGAGCGAAAGTGCATCTGTGAATTTTTTTGTGCAAAAATGGAGCAACAAAACAGTTGTTATAATATATGTGTTGTGGTTTATTCAGGAATGATGGCTCTTCTATTTAGTTAAATAAAACAATGCCTTGACCTCACGCGCAGTTTATTCGTCAGTCATTTAGGTGCAAGAGAGAGAGGGTGAGAGTAAGACAAAACACAAGAACATTGCGTTCCGATTCACCTACGTGACAATCTGTATAGTAGACGTTTGTTTAAATCCAATATTCAACCGTGAATTGTCGTTTTTCCGTTGGCTATATAACAATGACATTCAAATTTTAATAATTAAGTTATTATTGGTTTATCTTTCCATTCTGTTTCATTTACGACAGTAAAACAGTGCGTGCAGTGCGATGTGCGCTTGGAAACGGACGTGTGTCACTGTGCTGTGAGAATTTATTATTCGCCTCTCACACGGTAACAGCCGTCGTGCACTTCGGTAGCAATGAGTTCCCAACAGCTCATAGCTAACGAGTTGTTGGCGTTCATTGAAAACGCCATAGATACAATGGACGAGATTAGCATCCTGCAGATCTGCAATTTTAAAGAAGACGAGGTTTGCAGTGGCAAGGCGTTAATCTTCCGGTCCGTCGGCAAGACCGATCAGATGCCATCTCGCCGGAGGGATGGCACAGCGAAGAGTCTGCAAAACATCGTCACACTGCTAAAAGAATTGGATCCAGATGACGTGCCTACATTCGTGTCGAAGGAGTTACACAAGCTCCCTCCCGTCACGCTCGACCACGTCGATGTCACCAGGTTGCTCAAGGACATCAACTTCCTGAAAACAAATCTGGCCGATGTAGTGAACAAGTTGGAGGAATCAAACAACACCACCGGTGAGTTAGCGCCGCTTGGACAAGTAGGTCACCCGAGGCCTCCAACAATAATGCATCCGTCGGCAGTTTAGAGTCGTCATCGGGCGCGAGGCCCCTCGCCCCGCCCCCTTCCCCTTCCGCCACACCGGAGACGTCACGCAACTGCACGTTAACACTAAAACCCGCTTACGCAGCTGCGGCCGCCAGCCGACCCGTCGTATGACGCAACCTGAGCGGAAATCCACTCATCCAAAGAAGAAGGGTAGCCAAGACATCTCTTGTGCAACTCCGACGGAAACACGTAACCGTAATTGTGACGATGAGGGTTTCATCACGGTGGAGAGGAAGAAGAGGAAGCCCACTCGTCGCAATCTGTGCGGTGTCGCCCCGATCGGACCGAATAACCTGCTGCGTCCAGCGGTACCTGTGACGCTCCTGTATGTATCCGGCTTGCATTACACCACGAAGGCGGAGGGGATTACTTGCGTACCAAGACCAATTTCTCCCTGAGGGTCGCGGAGTCTCGCCACGACGTGCATTTTAATTCATTTGTAGTGAGAATGCCGACTGCACATGTGGAGACCTTTTTGAAAGAGGAGCTTTGGCCGAAAGGTGCGGTGTTCCGGCGTTTCAAAGGCAGGCTACCTGACACCACTTCGCGTCACACGTCGCCGACTAAACGTGTTATTTAGAATTTGTTATTATTTTATATTTCATATCTATGTTAGACTATAAGGTATATATTTCTATGGGCCAACGATGCCCGAATAAAAATAAATAAAATAAAAAACACACAACTGAATACTAGTGTCAATACCGCTGTAGCTTTTTGTGCATAGGCTAATGTTGACATTCCTAGCGCGACCGCCGAGCGTAGGTATGCAAAGCGAAGAACATAAATGAGATTACCTCCTGCACTCTCTATTCGGTGGTCGCACACACTCCGCGCTGCAATTAGCGACAGTCAATATGAGTAGTTAGCAGTTGGGCCCTCAAGTCGCTTGCGAAGCATCGTTAACGATTCACCTCGAGGCGACGACAGACCGCTCTGATACAATTAAATCGTCCAAGTTTAGACGCGCCCACTAGACTGCTCGTCGCCGTCATTAACAGCTTACTGCACAGGAACTGTATCTGAGGCGTACTTAAGGGAAATCGTTGAGACTTAATCCGACATTAATCTCGATTAGATATCAGTGATACACGGTATAAGTATTACTGATACGTAACCGAGATTAATGTCCTGGAATATTCATGTAATTATACCCGAATATTGTGTCATAACTTTATTCCTGCTATCTATGATTCCAACGAGATATCATGCTAATTATGGTAGCCATACAAACTACGAGAAATCGTTACGATCAGACTGTACAGTTCGAACGGAACAGTTTATCGTACGTGGCGTACGTATAGGAAACTGTGCAGTTTTATAACAAACACGGCTACGATTTATCGGTACCGTTCGGACTGTACAGTCTAATCGTAACGATTTCTCGTAGTGTGTATGGCTAGCAATACATTTGCATGTTTGGTTTCAATGTAGACGTAGTACAACATAGTACTTTTTGAAGTTATACTTCTTTAGGCGCGTTATGAAAAAATTATGAGAGTGAAATTTTAAGATGCGCGCGCATCACTGTAACACAAAATTTTAACAGCATGAACTTCATGCTGTTACTTTTGTGTTTACCGCACATTAAGAAAATCTACCAACAAAATAGAAATAGAATCTCTATTTAGTGGGTGCTAACGACTGCATTGTGAAGGCCTATCAAAAGTATTTATTAATCTGGAACAACGGAACCAAAGCGCGATTCAGGAGACTACAGCGCCATCTCTTGACCATTGGTGTAGTAGAACCAAAAACCACATCTTTATTTTTTGTAATAAAGTAACAGTTATAGGTATTCATATTTATAATATTTATCCACATCTTTCTAGTTTGTATATTCGGAATACGTGTTTGAGTTTCATACAAGTGCAAATCACATTATGTTCTAATAAATTATATTCGTAGCGATTTTAATTGAATATTTTGATTATTTATTTATTTTTTCAAATTAAAACTGTACTTTATTGACTGTGTCCTTTTCCAGACTTTTTATTAATTTATTGTAATTAATTATTAAAAACTAATTTTAAACGATGCCAAAGAAGGATAACTTCTCACGCGCCTACATAAGTACACGCACCCATTTTTTTTAGTTACAGGAAGCAATACGGGACACAATATGGGAAGGGAGCGATCTGCCCCGTGGTTTGAAGGTCGCGCGCGCGGTGAATGGGCGCGCGTCACTGAGCCGCACCCTCCGCGATGACGTAACACCCCCCCCCCCCCCCACATATGCTCACAACTTTTATTTCGGGAAACTTGCTCCACTTACCTCCTTTATGGCACAACACTTGCTCTGCTCGCTCGATTTCTGACGCCAGTTGATTTTGGGGCTGCAATCATTTTACATATCGTTTAACTTTATCCGGGAGTCAGACTACATACGACACAAGTGCGTATCGTACTGGTTTAGGGCATTAAAAGGGCGGATCCAATCATTTTCAAGGGGCCGACATTCACTGTTAATTGTCAGTCTTGGGTTTGCTAAACTAATTATAAGCAGTTATATTTTTTATTATTTTAAAGCATGTAACTGCTTGATGTTTAAACCTAAAGAAAATATAACGAGAAAAAATTCCACGCGGATCAGGCAGCAGACGGGACTCGAACCCGCACCCTTCGCAATCCGGGCGAATGCACTGACCAATTATGCTACCGCGGCCCTCACGGAACGCGTCGAAATTCTTCTAGCCATTCTTAAGCTGCAAGGCAGCGCCATCTCTTCGCCATCGCTTCGAGTCCTAAAGAAAATATAACTAGAAAAAAATCTCGAAGCGAGAGAAAAAAATCTTGAAGAGTCCCGTCTGCTGCCTGGTCCGCGTGGATTTTTTTCTAGTTATATTTTCTTTGATTATAAGCATTTACATGATCGTGTATTTGGCATACTATCAAACTCCCATTCCCGTGCTCTTTGGATATTAAGTATTATTTTACCATTAGTATTATCCCCCTGGGGGTTCGAAATCAAATAACTTGTAATGCAATAAAAAACTCAATATTATGAAATAGAAAACGAGCGATTGATCGACCAGAGGTGGGAGGGACCGTGGGTATGGAGAAGCAATAAAACCGAGATTCGAAGTTTTTTTTCTAGTAACAACGGTGAAAGAGTTTATCATTTCCATAGAAACTTGGTAAATCCGCATGAATAATAAATTTAAACTGCGAGGTTGGAGTGACGGACAACTTTAACATTGTATTAAGTTTATGACTTAGATTAAAACAAAAAGGGAAGCTATCGAGATATTCGTTGACAAAACCCACCTTCGGTGCTTTAATGTTTAATTAAGAAAACAGTTACTTTATAGTATGGCGATATTTACCACCAATTTATTAAGATGAACGTACGTACGTAGACACGCCATTGTTAGTAACAGAGTCCATAAAACAATCAGAAATCAGTGTCGTCTTTTATTGAAAATCTATTCGTCTTTAACGACATCGTAGAAAAAAAGCAATAATCACAAAATCAAAGAAAGCATCGGTAAAACACAAAAATCAAAAAAAATCTCATCGCAAGAGAAACAACAAGTGCAATTGCCAATGTCATAATGACAGAACACTGACAAACACTGTCATTATAAGTTGTCATGTGACGTTAGTTACGTGACCATTTATAAATCGCATAGGTAACCAATGCTATATTTTATTAATAATATAATATTTTGTCTGAGATTGGAAGTTAAAAAACTCCAATTTGTTCGTGAATTTTTCCTTACAATTTCTTAACGTTAAAAACATTGAGTTTATTTGAGTAAGGACAATGGGCAAAACACACCCAGCTCCGCCAACAATGTAATGAGTAGGAATCGATAGATCTATGACAAACTAGCCTTTTTTATTTTAACACCGTTTAAAAAATATCCCGATAGTCAAAAGATATGACACCATAAAAAAATAGCCTAGTAGTCAAAAGATATGACACATGGGCATATTTGAGTAGCTAAATATATTCATCATCATCATATCAGCCGTACGACGCCAACTGCTGAGCATAGGTCTCCCATAAGGATCTCCACACCGATCGGTCCTGCGCCACGCGCATCCATCCGCTTCCCGCGACCTTCACCAGATCGTCGGTCCACCTTGTGGGGGGTCTTCCAACCGAGCATCGTCGGGTGCGTGGTCGCCATTCGAGAACCTTAACCGTCCCAACGGCCATCGGTTCTCCTCGCTGTGTCCCGGCCACTGCCACTTCAGCTAAGCAAGACTTCGAGAGATGTCGGTTACTTTAGTTCTCCTGCGGATTTCCTCATTACTGATTCTTTCACGCAGGGAGATACCAAGCATCACCTGGCGGGTGCGCGGCCATTCGGAGACGGGTTCCGCGACCACACCCGCCCTTCGGCATGCACTAGGGGGACCGCGGTCCTCATAGTGCATGTCGGGTGACGGTGCAGGAGTATTGTCTGGTTTTTAGTGGCCCTGTTCAGGGCGTAGGTAGGGCCCTGTTTACATCAGCGAGCTCCAGGGCTGGCTGAACAGGACAGGGAGGAGTGCCACATACCTTCTTCTCGCTCCCCCAGTGGTTGAAGGATGCGTAAGGCATTTTCCAGACACAAAAAAAAGGGAGATACCAAGCTTCGCTCACTCCATTGACCGCTGTGCAACCTTGAATCTTCTTATAATACCCATATTATTTATATTATACATTTTATATTAATAGTAACCACAATAATATGCCATATTGTACTATACAACCAGATATACGACAAAGCCTGCATACCATCCTGCGCTTGCACTTACTGAGCCACCTCAAAACGGTTTACGGGGGTTGAACGACTTGCAGTTGCAAATAGTCGACTCGTCTACTTCGGTGTGATTGTGCGCTCCATGTCACTTGATTGATTTTTATCTAACTTTTGTTATTAGTATGAATGAACAGGAATTATGTTTTCTTCGAAGCGTGGACAAGTTTGTGTGATTTGTGGTCGCTCCGTTTTACATAGAAGACAATTTACTGTAACGAACACACTGTTTGAAAAAACCCCAACCCATGTGGGGTTTTTGGGATTTACTCTAGCGCGGCAGAATAACATATAGGGGCATCCTTGCACCTTGTGAAGTACTCCCATAATACCGGAGCCCTCTATGTAGGGTCGAACTAACTAAATTAATTTTCTTTTTCATTAATGTTCGTTCATTATAGTACTTGTATTTATTTATCTTAAAATAACTAAGGACCCCCGGGATAGAATTTGATGCGCTTTGGCACAGATGCTCATTACTATAATATCTTTCAAACAATTGTTGTTTAAGCCGTGGCGGACGTGGGTGCAGCTTCCATACATTTTTGCCCAATGTCCTTAATTCCCTTGTTTCATTAATGTTCATTCATTATAGTACTTGTACCTATTTAACTTAAAATAACAAAAGACTCCCGGGAAGGAAATTG